CAACTCCCAGAATTCCCCAGCCAGCCTGGGGAATTCTGGGAGTTGAAGTCCACCCATCTGAAAGCTGCCAAGATTGAGAAACACTGGCCTAATGCTTCTATTTAAAGTCAGAGGAACCAGTGCCATCCCTGCAGATCGCAGAATTTATGACTAAGAAGCAAACAAGAAAATTGATACTTGAATATTTGTAATTAGTATGTCGAGGAATATTAGAATATAAGTGAACTCCAGATATTTAGACCAAGGAGCTGATAAATATATTAAAACGGATTGTAAGTAATTGCGTAAAGGATTCCTCAAAACTGAATTAAGACAACATTTGGGTCTCCCTTTCTGTTTGATCCATTTTTTAAAAATGAGAAAGGCCCTTTACGCTGAAGAAAAGGGGGCGAAAGCTTTAGAATTTCCATCCTTCTGCAAGAAGTGGGAACCAGAACAGGATGGGGGTCCTCTCTAGCAAATGTTCAACACTTTGGATTGAGTGAGAAGGAGCACCTCATCCAAGGGTTCCATCTCCCTTTCAGGAAGAACAAGCCACTGTTTGGTCCACAAAAGTACACGGCTGATCCTTGAACTCATGCATGGGACCGGGTTATCTGAGGGGCCGGCTCTCCCCGATCACATCAGCCTATCCCATTAGGTCTGGCAGAGAAGTCATGTTGCAGATACCATCTGCCAGGGACCTACATTTGGTGGATCCCAAGAGGCAGACCTTCTCAGCTGTGGCACCCACCCTATGGAATGTTCTCCCCTCCCTCCCAGAAGTGAGGTTAGCTCCATCTCTGCTATTATTCTGGAAGTCCCTCAAGACCTGGTTATGTCCCCAGGATTGGGGGTCCCTGGGAACCAGACATTCTTCGACGGCTCCACTAGGGTTGATCTTTTCACTCTCTCTGTGTGGTTTGTATATTTTAAATTTTTAATAGTGTTTTTCATTTTTAATAATGACTTTTTATATTTTTATAATGATTGCTTTTTATAGGTCTGTTATTTTATTGATTGTGGTACGCTGCCCAGAGTCACTTTTTGTGAGATGGGCGGCCATATAAATGTGATTAATAAATAAAGCTAGCAAGCAAGCAACGGATTCCAGATCCTTTATAGCAGTGTTTCTCAACCTCAGCAACTTTAAGATGTGTGGACTTCAACTCCCAGAATTCCCCCAGCCAGCAT